TTCACGGTTCAAGGTGTCGTTAAATGCACAATGTCTGACGTAATGTGTGTCTTATATGCAAAGCTTATGATGATGTTATCTGTTTTAGGTTCAAAATAGTGATACTGCAATGTGTCTTAAGATCTAAAGTGTCTGAAGATAAATTGTCTTAGGATATAAAGTGTCTGATGCTAAAACGTGTCTTCAAATCTTTAATGTTCGATAATATTAAGAAACAGGTTCAAAGTGTCTTCAAATGCAAAGCGTCTGACGTTATGAGTGTCTTATACATGTATACAAAGAGTATGATGATGCTATTTGTTTTTGTTTTTACGTGTGTACGTATGCAGTTTGTCTTAAGGTGTCAAGTTTATGAGAAAGAAAGGGGTCTTAAGATGCTAAGTTTAAGGTAAGGTGACATTCAGTTCAAAGTGTCTGAGTATGAAGTACTTTTTTTTTGTTCAAAGTGCCATTCAACAAATATGGTTTGGGTTCAAAGTGTCTGATGATCCAACTTGTTGGTAAATGCAAAGTGTGTATGTGTCTTAAGATACAAAATGTCTGATGATGAAATGTGTCTTTAGATGTGGTGTCTGATGAAGAAATGTGTCTTAAGATTTTAATTTCAAGGTAATGTGTCGTTAGGGTAAGAAAATGATGAAGAAATGTCTTTTTTGGTCCAGTGTGTCTTTAAGGAAAATATGTAAAGTGTCCAATAATGTAATGTGTCATGATATGAGACACGTGTCTCGTGATACATTTTGTTATTATGTGTTTTAAATGTAACCTGTCTGGTAATGACCAGTATACCAATAGAGTAAGTACAATACGTCACAGAGTCTAGTAAGTACAATACGTCACAGAGTCTAGTAAGTACAATACATCACAGAGTCTAGTAAGTACAATACGTCACAGAGTCTAGTAAGTACAATACGTCACAGAGTCTAGCAAGTACAATACGTCACATAGTCTGTACAAATGGTAGTTTCTACTCCAAATTAACGCTCAGCAATTTAGGAGTGGGACGAATGGTTCGCCCGTTGTCAGTATAATGTGACCGGGTGGGGTGTCCTGCTGGGTGTCTTCGGCATTATGTTTCAGTGAGATAGCACTATAAAGTCGGCATCAGTTTCTGCGCTATCACAAGGAGACAAACACAAACATATCGCAGCCTCCCAAAACACACACGCATACACTACACGCATGCATCTTGCACACAGTGGAGGCCGTCCTTAAATGACCATATATAGCTGTTGATAGGGACGTTAAACAGTACGTATATATGTCCAATATATCTGTGGATTCTATGTAATTACTGACACATTATGTCAAGTGACCGATGAAAGAGCTGAGCATCAGAATAAATATTGTATGGCAGGGTGAAATGTATATCATTTTCCAAACATCTGGGCATTCTTTGTTTCTTTGCTATTAGTTACAAAGCGCCTATTGGTACAATTTGTTAAAACTTCACACCCGGTTAAAAACAACCCTTACTCTCTTACTATGGGAAGATACATTTCCGCTTTTCCCGAGATAAGCCATCATTTTCTTTCACTCTTCGAAGATTTTTCTCCCGTTCTGCCTGTTCCAAATTTACTCTAGACGTATGGTATCATTTCTCTGTCATGCCATGTGTTTGTTAGCACGTAGAAAATCGCTATACGACGACAGCACAGGAGCAAAACAACATGACGTAACAATTTGCTTTGGACGCAAAGGATAATTGACAAATCAAGATAAAAAGAGTACAGATGAGGATAACCAATGCTTAAACATGTTTTTGAGGAGAAAAAGCATTTATTTCTGCGATAAAGGTTTGCCAGAGAAATGTAAACCATCAGGGTGATATTCTTGAATGTTTATCCTCATCCGGAGGTAAACCTCGGGTCGGGAATTTAGGAATATCACACTAAGGAGTCAGATTAGTAGTCACTGTCATCCTACCCTTGAGGTGTTTGAAGGTCATACTAGTTTAGTATCATCCAGGGGATTCTATAGTCATAACTTACATGCATGATCACGTGGCGCCACGTCAACAACGCATCGACGTCATACCCACAATGCATTGAAGTCATCACAAGAATGCTTTGAATTTTGCAGTGTTACATATAGATATTCATCTCCCTAGATTGGGATTTCAACCCTTCGAAAATTCACATGATGCCAAACACTTAGCATACTGTGACGTCACAATGACAAACATTATAGTGACGTCACTTGTTTTTCGATTAGTTGACGTATTATGCCTTCCCTTTTTCATAGAAGCAATTCCTTTTCAAGGTTGGGAGAAAAGGCTATTCTTCCTTGCTTGGGTCGAGACAAAATATCTGTACTCTCGGGGTAAGATCAAGTTTTATTGTTATGAAGTAAGACTTGTGCTGCATCGCCATTAAGTGTCTTGTGACGTTGTTGTGCAAAGTGTTTATTGGAGCGTTTGTCTTGTAATGCGACTTTACTTGTGGTAACACGTGACCTAAAGTGTAATGTATCTTTTGGCGCAACTTGTTTTATGATACAATGTGGCTTTTAAGCGCAATACAATGTGTATGTCGAGCGGTGCAACGTCTCCTGAAGTGCAGCGTATCTTCTAGCGTAACCTCTCTTTTGGCGCAATCTGTCTTGTGTTTTGATGTGCAAGATGGCGCAGTGTGTTGACTGTCGCTATGTGACGCGTGGTCCAACATGTTGTTGTATACTCTGCTATAAAATGCTATGTATTGCGGGTTGCAAAGTGCTATCTTTTTCATTGGAGCTCATTGTGAAATAAATAGCTTGTGAAACAACGTGTCTTAAGGTAAAGTTGGTGTGGAATGTGGTTTACTATGTGGTACAGTGTACGTCGGCTTGTGCAAAGTGCGTGGCTATTTACAGTACACAAGTATAGCTGATGTATCCTCATTAAGACTAGCAAACTGAATGGTAAGCTCACGTGTTGTACACACCTTCTTGCGTGTTTACAATTGCCACATAAATGGAACTGATGTTTATCTGAAACTGTATTTGGCAGCACTGCGGTCTACAGTAAACACTATACAGACTGATTTCAAAATAAACCATGGCTGGATGTACTACTTAGTGACTTCTATAGGTTTATACACTGAACAGAAATCTGCAATGTGATTTTAATACTTTAATAAGGCGAAACCCGTGTTTCTGAAAATTGTATACTAGTACAACACACGAGGTCCTTGAATGCTTTGAGGGGATTTGAGTAGCGTTACGTTAATAGATATGAAAGTTAAATGTTCAAATTTCTGTCTATTTTCAAGTACATTGTATTTGTAACAAAACGAGTGCTTTGTGGTATGTTATTTGAGATGAATCATTTAGAATTCCAGAACATTCATGTTTTGTTTTCAGTTTCGTAATAATAAAAAAACAAAAAATAATAAACCAGCAAATTAAAAAAGACCTTAAAATGTGTGCTTTTGGCAACGAATGTTTGATTAAGCCTGTTGAAGATTAGAATCATGCACTTATTGATTTAAACATTTACCTGTACAGGTAATATAAATTCACCAAGGGAATGACACACGCCTCAAAATAGCTGTTTAGTTCAAGTTAATGTTTTCATCATCAGTAACAAAATAACAGATCGAATTCCTAACATGAGACATAAGGATAAGATTTCTGTACGCGTAACGATTACAAATCTAGTCAGGTGAATTGATGTTTTGGTAATTTCTACCTGACAATACATTGTATTTTCTCTAGCGTAAATGGCCTCCGTCTATTTTCATTATACCTGCGTAAAAAGTATCAGAATTGATTTGAAGGGTAAATTACCTTGGTCACGAGGCAACACAAAGCAATGCAATATAGTGTTGGGCCAGGATCAATAAGGGACGATAACTCTGGTCATCAAAAACAGAACGCTAACATTAATGACGATCTATTGAAATGCAAAGTGCACGGTCAGAATTGGTGTCGATCATCATCTGATATCTCGATCACCACTGATATGTCGACGTCGACATTTCACCCCTTTTGATTTTGACTAGAGTTTGATGAATTAAAGGTTTTGAGGGTGTCCATTTGATAAAGCTATGTGTGGCCTTGCTTTCATGTCAGTATACACAGATTGACATTTACTAGGTACGTGTACAATATTGCCGAATACCAACCTAGAACGATAAATGTCAATTAACTCATGATCTACCATAAGATTAGAAAAATAAATGTTTTGAGCAATATGGTTTGCTTGGTCCAACCGTGAAAATTATTTGAATAATGCGGCCTCTGATTGGACAAAGTACAAAAAAAAAATAGTACAAATCTATATTTTGTTTTTCAGGTATATACGATGATTTTATGTGATTTTGTTTCATTATGAACACAAACATATCATAACTGTACATTTCTATTTAAACAAATTCAGTGCATGATACTAATACTGGAAATGTCGCATGCGTCTTTGAAAAAGTGCCGCCTTTCCTCTCATCTCTTCTACTATATCTTGATTGTTTCAAACCATGCATTTTTAGCCATAATCATCAAAGAACCCATTATATACTGCATTGTGCAATATAAGATCATATAGAAATTCTCCAAATGTATTTCCAACATAAATAACCCCTACTCGGTATAAACACAAATAGCATACTGTATTTTCCAAGGTTCGGCATGTCCATTTAAAACATTATATATTAGTAGCTAAAAAGACTTAATAAGAAATAAAAAAAAATTGCCTTGAATACGTAAAACACAAAGTATTTTCAATGTAAGCGTGACATTAAAAATATTTTATACTGCTTATTATTCGAATTTCGAGAAATAAATATATTGTTTTTGAAAAATTAGTTGCGAGAATGTGTTTCACGAATAATTATCATGTACCATTTCATTCTAGGTATTTCATGTTTCCACTTTTGTTTCGTGTAAACGTCAGTTTCAACACAATCACCAACATTACTATACATGAACATAAATCGATTTTCTGCAATACTCGTAGTTATTTCCGTTTAGTAAGTAGATATATATGGTATAGGTTATAATGACGTCATTTCCGCCCGTTACAGAAATACACCAGAAGGTGAAGAATGGTTTAAAGCCTTATTTCCGACCCACGCTGGAAGAGGCAGACTGTCCGTGTGACGAGCTTGCTGAAGTGATCCGAAAGTGTTGGTCTGAAGATCCCATGGAGAGGCCAGACTTTCAGGCCCTCAAGTCTACCATCCGGAAACTCAACAAGTAAGTCCCGCAGTCAATGTTCAATTCAGTTTGATTGGTCAGATTTCATCCGGGATGCAACGTGTTCCCTAACTGTCATTAGTACATTTGAATGAATTTTATAGAAAAAAAATTCCGACAAATATACAAGGTGTTTTTTTTCAGATAAATATGTTTGAAATTGAATGTGTGTTTTTCAATGGAACCTGTTACCAAGGTAACAAGGTGTTTTCCTGAATCTATTGGTTAAATTCGGGTACTCAGTCACTTGCGTAACCATGGATACCAGTTAATGTTATGTAGCAGTCAGTTACTCGACCTGTCACGTGCGTTACCACGGATACATGTACCGGGTTTATTATGTAGTCAGTTATTCGACCCGTCACGTGCGTAACCACGGATACCAGGTAATATTATGTAGTAGTCAGTTATTCGACACGTCGCGTGCGCAACCACGGATACCAGGTAATAGTATGTACATGTAGTAGTCAGTTACTCGACCTGTCACGTGCGTTACTTTTACCAAGGTAACCATTTACATACCCAAATGTTAACTGCAGTATGTCAAGGAGGAGTTGATGAAGTACCATATACCACAGAGACAATTAAAGTAAGGAAACACACAATCATTCTCGGCGGAGTCATCCATCATTGAATTTGTAATCACTGCTGTGTCTGAAATGTCTAAAATCAGATAATGGATCAGAATGCCGCCAACGGAAATTTGTTTTGTCAGCACTTACCAGTATTTTCAAAGAAACAAATTTAAGCTTACACTTTCTGATTTAGTTAAAGATTTAGGTTTACAGATTTGAGGTGATTTGGTGTAGGTCTGGAAGGCAGGTCGTCACGATAAGTTAGCTTGATGCATCGTTATTGAGTTTCTTTCTTTCGAAACTGTGTGATTTTCAGACAATGGCGTCTTATTTCGAAATCGAATTCTAAGCTGTTCCGCTGGTCAATTATCCGAGTCTGTTGGCCGATAGAGGCGGGGTTTATTTGATCTCAACTCTCTGAGCCTTGTGATCAACGGAACGGCCGCTTATTTAGTGATCGAGCTTAATGATACATAGAGACAGAGCGTAAGACTTAATCGGAATGTCGTTGTCCATAGCACCTGAACCGATTGTTTGTCCAGGAACCAGTCATTTCCGAGCTTACGGACCTACGGAGCGGGATGTTTTTTAAGACCTCTGCTTCTACGAGTTATAAATGGCAGCTTATTCAGAGTACGATTCATGTGCCGATAGAATCGGAGCTTTTCCCAGTTTTGATTCACACTAAATAGACACCAGTCTATCACAATGTTAACTTCCCAGTATGTAGGTGTCCATTTGTACAGCTATATAGACAAAACATACAAGTGCAGATTGTCTTTTAATACACAAAAGTAATTCAGATCAATATTAGACTAAAAGGACAGTAGTCCATCACAAAATGTATTCCCAGTATGTAGTTGTCCATTTGTACAGCTATGTAGACAAGCCATACAAGGGTAGATTGTCTTTACCATAACATGATAAATGGATATCCATATTAGCCCATTTTCGTATTTGAATACGTTTTAACTAATGCTCACAAAATGTTGTTTTCTGGTTTTTTAACTGACCTCAAAGATTCTGAAAATTCCTATCTGTTTTGGTGTCTCCTTGTTTTGCTGTGTTTACTAATAACCGTATCAACAAGGAATTTTGATACTGTCCTCGAATGCTGGTGATGTGGGATGTTTTTGCTATTTTATAGCTGTCTTTACGATAACAATATGAAGCTAGGGTATTCAATTAATCAGGACATTAGCCATGCTGAATAACATTAAGAGCATCTCCTTGCAGCCTTGATGTCGATTCCTTTCATGTTACATAACGAGTAATCTGGACTTTTTGATTCAAGTATCCTCAACTTAATGACAAATCCTAGTATTTAGTTGTAAAGCACCTAAAGAAATAGGACTGTGTATATTATCACAGAGAGTCAATGTCAAACTTCAGTACATTTTAAGCTATTTCAACATTTATCGTATCTGTCATTGGATAAAAAAGGGAAAAAAATCATTATAAGCCCTACTTTGACGTAACACATTTTAACGTTTGGTTGACAAATCTTTTATGAACCGAGTAGTAAAAATTAAAAAAATTAAAGCTTAAAAGGTTTACCTAAAAGCTATTATACTAATATTATTTCTTGTATCTTTTATCTTATTTGCAATCAAGGAACAAAGAAAGTTAATCTTAGTAAATTTGAGAAATTCTGCCTTGCTATGTAAATACACTTTATGTTCATAAAAAATCTACATATAGAAAAATTCTAGAAAATCATCTGAAAACAAAAGTTTTAAAATAAATAAAACAAAATGACAAAAAACACGTATTTTAAGAAATTTCAAGACATTGAAAGCTGATCACATTTTAATTTTAGTATTACAGACATATTCAGCTACACATCTGATCAGGAATGAACTACTTCGATCTTCTATACTTTGATTATTGAGATATATTGCACAATAGCTTTGCGACTTCATAACTACCTTGTTAGGGTAATTAAGACTAGGGATACCCAGCGACTTTTGTCGTCTTTTGATTCGCGAGACAGATTCTTAACGAGGCAGGATCATTTAAAAAGATCGAATTTAAAAATTATGCTAGAATATGCCTACAGAATGTCATCCACTTTCAAAAACCAGAAACGCTTAAATGCGTTATCGAAGAAAGCACTTCATTTTGATGACAAATCAGGTACATCGACTGTTACAGCGATGACGAAATCGTTTGATCACAGTCTGTTTACCGCGTGCGATTCTTTGATAATTTATAAAACACAGTGAACGCTGATTGAATGGTTATGTAACCAAAGTGCCCATAACAGCGTATGTGGAAGAACAAAGTCACCGAATGAACTTCATTTAGATGCTTATCCTAGATTTTTTAATTTTATTTTCATGGCCGTTGGCGTTAGGTAATTGAAAAATAAGTAAATACCATGAATACATAAATCCCGTATAATAGGAATTATCGCCAATTTAATACTCGCCATTCTTTTCGCTAAGTGTTATGTCTACCCTTCAAAGGACTAGCGTAAAAGGTCATTTTTTCGGGCTCATCAGGGATTTAAAATTAGTTGTTATATTCGAAATCTGGAGTAAATGATGTATGTAATTATGAAATTTCAAATTTATTTGACAACTGGTTTTGGAGAACGAGCATTACAATGAAACACATAAACCCGAATTTTTCATTAAAAAAAATGCGTGAATATCGTTTGTTTTGTGCTATTTAATTGAAAATTGGTCATTTCGACGGAAATTAAGTAAACTCTCTTAATGTTTTGAAAGCCTCTGCGTGCATCAAACAAATAAATAACTAATATACATGTACTTAAACATTGTCATACCCGTGTTCATTCGCAGAAATGACTTTTTGTTAGCTACATGCGGAGGCTTTCATTTCTGCACGCTAACTGTTCAAAATCTCCATATTTTGTCTATTTCTGCAAAGCAACGCAATTCCGTTGCTATGGTAGGGCATCTACGCATGCGCATTGGAAGAAATCTGCACCAAAAAGATAGCCTCAATTAACCAATATGATGTTTATAACAGAAATTGATTAATACCAATATGATGTTTAAAACAGAAATTGATTAAAACCAATATGATGTTTATAACAGAAATTGATTAATACCAATATGATGTTTATAACAGAAATTGATAAATTAATTCAAATATTTTTTTAAACTTTTTATGAGGCCAAATATTTCCCATAACGCCCCAAGTCTTTTATTACCCACATGTATATTTACTTGTCTTTATGAAACGATGCCCTCATATATGAAACAAAGGGCGAAAAGGCAAAAGTGGACCTGTTGCAAAGATTTTCCGGTATATATACATTTGTAGTAAACACAAAAAGTATCAGAGACAGCAAACCCTGATCTGAATTTCAATTCATCTACAGACATGATTGGTAAACTTCTATGTTTGTGTGGGCTTAAGGCTATATGCTACCCTACCTAAGTACATGTTTTTATCTCCTTTTTAAAAGAGCTCTACCTTTAGGCGCATATAGTATTCCTGTTATGAATGGTAACATGAAATATGCTAATAGATTGATGACACTCGTGAAAGTGTTCAAGGTTGGATTTATAAGGGAGACTACTCTACTGAAAATTACTGTACAATGTATCAAAACTCTTGGGTGGTCGGGTGGCGGAGCGAATAGTGCACTCGCCTTTCAACAAGGCGACCGGGGTTCGATTCCCCAATCGGGCGTGAAAATGTATAGGGACACCTGCCCGACCACGTGGGTTTGCTCCGAGTGCTCCGGTTTCCTCCCATATTAAGACCCCGCACGCTTACATTCGGGCCAACAAGAGAGAATAAAATAAGTTGAAATAAATTGTTTCATAATTGTTGTTAAATAAATGAAGTATATATGTATCAAGAAACATATACCCTTAAGGGCGATAACTCTGATACAAATCACAGGAATATTGTGGAGTGTAAATATTATATTCTTTAGGGAGATAACTCTAACACAGATCACCGTTATAATTTGTAGGTCAGCTTATCTCTTTAACTTAAATAGGTCTTGAAAATATTCGCATATACCTTTAAATATAGATGCATCGGTGTTGTAAATTCCGGTCCCAGTTGCGAGGACAAATGTCTGAAGTACATCTTGATAGAAATAGTTTAATTAAACACGTACGCACGTTGTAACGAAGACAAAACGGGGGATCTGAAGTGAAATTAATCACGTGTTACATGGTGTCGAGATACGACTATCAAAATCCAAATATCCCTCTCGATCCAAAAATAACCAGAAGATATATAAAAGATGCCAGTTAGTCTCCTAGCGTAATCCCAGAATATAAGCCGCTCTTTTGTTTTTCGATTGGTATTCATTCCTCTTGAGACAGCATTGCTGAGCTAAGAGATCATAACACCACGTATAGTTAGCTTTATAACAATTAAATCTTCAAGAATTATATTCAAAATGTCATTAAATACCACAACGAATGATCAAAA